TCTTTAATGCTTTAAATAAGTATGGAAAAAAAATTGTTAAAATAATATTTGGAGGTAGTGATTTCGAAATGAAATAATTTTAATATTTATGATCTATTTATTATGATGTGTCTACTGTAGGCGTAACACATTACATTTTTTCCAGTTCTTTTGACTTCCTTGTTGTCTGTGTTGTAAATACTTATGATTGTACCAGTGGCGTAGCAAGGGGATGCTAATAATGTCGATTGATACCAAATTCTTAGTACATGAATCGAATCGGTAGAAATAAAAAACGACATCTTACCCATTTATAAGGTTTACAAAATAACATTTTATTTTAAAAATCTAATTTCTTTTAGTAATTAATATAATTTATTTAAATTAAAAAAAATGTTTTTGAAACCAAATATATAGAAGCCCAGAAATATTCAAAAATTAATATATTCGCCGATTCGTCTCTAGCACCCCCTCTCCCAACACCCCCCCCCCCTCAACCAAAACCCTTAACATCCGAGCACGATTATTATACAGTACAAGGTCGTTCACATGCTGTCTGTGATTTCAAGTTTCTCAAAATATTCAAAAATTAATATATTCGCCGATTCGTCTCTAGCCCCCTCCCCCCCAACCCCCCCCCCCCCCCTCAACCAAAACCCTTAACATCCGAGCACGATTATTATACAGTACAAGGTCGTTCACATGCTGTCTGTGATTTCAAGTTTCTCTACTAACTTTAAATTTGGGCTCAATTACTGGAAGAAATTACTCCTACCCAGCAGTATCTGTACAATAAAGGCTTTACTCTTGGTAAAGTGGTGACCAACCTAGAGGTCTTAAAATTGATTCTTCCCGAGAAGCACTGTCACTTGGTGGAACATGCTATTGAAAAAGCACTTTGAAATCAGACAGTTGTGGATTTTTGGTAGAGAGAATACTAAGGTTCAGGAAGAGAATGGCAAAAGAATAATTAATAGATGCTCGACTCTCTCTCTCTCTCCAAGAAGAAAATAGGGAGATGCTTTCATTGTGAAACCCAGATCATATTATGAGCGATACGTTGGGGATGTTCAACCCAATCATTATCAACAAATAAAGTAGAGTTATTGGTGTCCATTTCAAAAATAGCCCCTATCTATGATGAGTTATCAGAGGATGGACTTTTAAAAGAAATATGAACGCTTAGATAGAAGACACCTAAAGGCATCGATATTGAATTTCACAAAGTCATGGAGTGGTCAATACTTGTTGTTTTGAAATTTATAGTTGAATTGAACTTCCTAGAATCTCTTCCAATACTCTTGTTAAACCTTGAAATGTTTCTTACGATATGTGAGTCTGTGGCTTTATGTCAGCGGAGCTTTCTAAAACTAAGGCTTATCAAGAACTATTTACAATCCACAATGGGACATTCAAGGTTTCTGATCTGGCTCTACCATCAACTGAAAGTGATACAGTGATGGATATTGATCAAGTGATTAACAGTTTTGGCGACTTTGAAGACCAGGAAAGGAAAATTTTAAATAAAGTAAATTTATTGAAAAAACTATAACTCAACGTTGTTAAAGTTCTTAAATACATTTACCTCCTGATATTTAATTATTTTTTCTTTTCTTGCCATTGTTATGATGTGGACTTATTTTAACATGAAGAAACCCATCGTGGAAGTCGAGGAAAATGGGGGGGGGGCGCATGACACAATGAGTTTACCCTAGCTACGCCATTGCCTTGTACTCCAGTTTATTGCAAATTACATAATTTGTTTGTGTGTGAATGTGTGCAAATTAATCGTTAATACTGATGAACCATTGCTATGTATGTCTTCAGATTCACTTTGTGTTGTGTCTGATAATGTTCATCTTATTTTATAAATTCAAAAGAACTACACCATGATTAATTTTCTGATCTTAATTTTTATGTTGTAAAAATGAAATGTAAAACACCGACATTTAATAAAAAATAAATTTTGTGACGATTAAAGTTTCTATAGATAATAAAACTAAATTCTACTAAGGGATTAAATGATCCATTTAAAAACATTTTAATCAAACAAGATTGACCAATATGTTGTATTACTTGTAGTACTACCGTACAAGGATGTCAATAAACATAGTGTATAATGGAACTGTTTTCCAGCTGCCCTTTAAAGTGTGTTTGTAGATATAAAAATTGAAAGTCCCTGGTTATTTAAAAAACATTTAAATTTGTGAAGAATTCTAATCTTACTTTGTGACAACGCTATAAAACGTACATTGAAGAAAAAAAAATGTAGATTTAACTCAATGGAAATATTAGCACAAATCGAAAATATACAATGGTATTAAAAAAACTATTAATCTACTACCTTAACTGTCATAATGGGAGTCAAACAATAAGAAAAAGGGGGGGGGGGGTAATGTTAATTTTGGAGATGGGGTCTGGATAAGAGGATGACCTAAATTCCTACTATTGAATCATGTAACTGTAAGTCTTTGCTATTTCAATTACAATTACGAAATCAAATTGATTTAAATTTCTAGCAATATGAACTGTATGTGCACAACCCCTCCAGGCCAGAAACGCTGGAATACCGTGTCTATTTTTTTTTGATCACACCCTGTTGACAAAGAAGCCAGACCAAATATCTCGCAACACATATATTATTATGGGAAAAATCTTCTTAAACGTGCCTTAAACAAGGAAGTTTAATTTCAAAAGAAATCTTATCTACGGTTTCATGGTATTGGCTATGTACTGGGATTCACCACATGTACCATGTAATGGGCCGGGTCACTAAATTAGAATACTGGCTTGTCTATTTTTGAACTTTAAGTAGCTATGTAAGTGAAGGATTATGTGCTTCTGTTTATTGGTGAAACTTGCGAAATGAAGGTAAATTTGTTATTGTCATATGTTATTGTTCTTATTTAGTTAATTTATTTATTTAAAGCGAACACGCTTAAATTTGATGAACATTTTTGAAAATGTTCTTACTGGAATATAAGATTTAAGAGCCTTTAGAATTTTCAATGCGCCTTGTTTTGAGTGAATATAGAGAAATAGACTTGTAAATAGGTCACAATATGCCTGTCTACCTGCCTGTCTACCTGCCTGTCTACCTACCTGTCTACCTACCTGTCTACCTACCTGTCTACCTACCTGTCTACCTACCTGTCTACCTACCTGTCTACCTACCTGTCTACCTACCTGTCTACCTACCTGTCTACCTACCTGTCTACCTACTTGTCTACCTACCTGTCTACCTACCTGTCTACCTACCTGTCTACCTACCTGTCTACCTACCTACCGCACCCCTCGATCCAGGCAAAGTTTTTTTAATTTAAAGAAAAAATTATTATTACATACAGGGTGGGTTCTGGTTAAAATGAAAGGTATAGTCTGTGTAATTTTTAAAATGTTGGCTGTTTAATGTTTCTATTTTCTTACATGCTGTGAGAAGTTGATGTCAAGTAAAATTAATCACACTATTATTAACGAACATATCAATTATCCATCTTTTCACAGCATTATGTCATGAAATCGGAGAGTAATGTCTGTTGGGCACATGTCTCTGGCTGAAGAGATACAAAATAAAAATTTTCTTTGATTAACAAGAATATCAGATGTTGACCAAACATCTCTCTGATATTGATCAATTAAATGATGTAATCGGAATACTGTAAAGTGTTGGCGTATCAACAGGACTGAGATTTGATTTAAACTAAAATTGTACGGCAATTAGGCAAACAGAAAATATATAAAATATACAATAATACTTTTTTTGACCTTTTTTCTTATTGGACTTGGAGAGACGGGTATGAAATTCCTAGAACAATACAGTTGGATTATTTAAAAGTTTAATTCGTGAAATTGTAGACTTCAGACTACTTTAAATAATGTATAAATTAATAATGAGACAACTATAAAATAGGCATTATTATTTCAGCATGTGGTACTGGATGGTTCGGTTCAAATTGTGAGTACAAATGTCACTGTACATCTAACAAATGTGACACTAATGGAGAGTGCCCTGCAGGAAAATGTGCTTCTGGATGGTTTGGTCCAGCCTGTCAATACCGTAAGTTACCTATTATTGGAGTTACATTCCAAGATAATAAAATGTATTATTTTAAAAGTAGAGTGAATGTTGTGTTTAACGTTTATCTTAAATGCATGTCTGGATAATTGATTCCAGAGGGACCTGAAGAACAAGAAATTTCAAATCCTGAAATAAAAAAGAAATGAATAACTCTGAAATTTTGACTGAAACATTCAATCATGAACAAACCAAATTATTAGAAGCCGGAAGGTGACAGCTTAAAAGAAGTAGGCCTCAAAAATAGAAACTTTGTCTGTAAAACTACCTCATCTTAAATTGTATCTAACCATTACCTTCCCGCATGGTCAGCCATCTGCACATCGACAGACAGATTCAGCCCCAACACATTTCCTATGTTTAAAAGGGTCATGATTGATTTTCACGAATGACCCAACAACTTCACCCAAAAGGAAAGCCATCTCAACACTATAATCTTTTGATTAAGAATTTTTTAAATTAAAATGTCAAAAATTTATTTAAGAATTAACCTCTTTCAAGAGAATCTGATGAAACATCATCTTGTCTCAATTTTATTTAATTACTTTAGCTTACTACCATATTAATTAATGAGAAGATATATTTGCTTGAAAATGAAAAATCTTCTATCTCAATATATTCATATAGTTATTCATTTCAGAGGATCTGTGTTCACTGTTACAGGTTGCGACACGTTCATAGACTGTAACAAACCTCAGTGACAAAATTGACGAAACAATTTTTTGATGATCTTTTGTCCTTCAAAAAAAATGTGTCTTTTATTTTTACGTCTTAGTTACATTACTCAAATGATATAAAAGTTCTTCAGTAAATTCAGGATCATACAAATATAAAGGTTTTTTATTGTATTTATCATTTTAGAGGACCTGTATTCACTACCACAAGTTGCCACAAGTTCACTGACTTCTACGATCCTCACAGACAGATATGACCAAACATGTTTAACAACAAATACCGGAAATTTAACAGTTACATTAAACATGATTTATCCCATTACTTGGATACGATTAATTGTAAATGAAGCTGGTAAGTAGTAGAATAAATAATACCAATGTCGATTTAAAAAAATATATATTATTTCAAATGACTTAAATATCAATAGAAAGAGTCGTTTAACCAGGACGTTAATCTAGTTAGTATATTTTAACAACTACCATGATTGTGTTATTTACTGTCAACCCCAGAGTTTACACCTCTGCACACATTGATTATCACGATGTCTTTTAAAGAAGAAAAAGGATAAGAAATGTTCAGGCAAAAATCAATGCTTAAAATAGAGTATATTATAATTACATAAACCAATATACATGTCTTAATAATGCATATGATATGAGGGAATTTCCTGGACTTTTCGTATGAATAAAATCAGTAGAAATCACTTTAAAAATAGGCCATCTGTTTTTAATCTATTAGAATATCCGATTATACGTAATATATATTTATTTTGAGCAGTGTCAAGTTAGCCTGTTAAATGCCATGAACCATATTCTAAAGAGTCTTATAGCTCTAACTAATCGTTTACAAAGAAAAAAAATGCCATCGCCATTAAAAGAATAACTACTAAATATGACTGTTTAACGAGTTTAAAAAATAATAAATGTTCCCTTATACTTTGTGTTTCAGATCAGTTACATGTTATTAAACTATTGTTCAATGACACGCAAGTCAGTGGTACCACATGCAGTAAAACGGTAATACAAGACAGAACCATGGACATTATATGTGACGACTTCTTGGCTGCAAAGAAAATAAGCTTTTTGCAAAATGGCGTAAACGCCCTGTGTTCTCTTTACATTAGTGGAGGTAGGTCTTTCTATTTGTGGAAGTGGGTCTTTCTATTAGTGTAGGTAGGTCTTTCTATTAGTGGAGGTGGGTCTTTCTATTAGTGGAGGTGGGTCTTTCTATTAGTGGAAGTGGGTCTTTCTATTAGTGTAGGTAGGTCTTTCTATAAGTGTAGGTAGGTCTTTCTATTAGTGGAGGTGGGTCTTTCTATTAGTGGAGGTGGGTCTTTCTATTAGTGGAGGTAGGTCTTTCTATTAGTGGAAGTGAGTATTTCTATTAGTGAAGATAGGTCTTTATATTAGTGGAAGTAAGTCTTTCTATTAGTGGAGGTAGGTCTTTCTATTAGTGGAAGTAGGTATTTCAATTAGTGGAGGTATGATTTCTATTAGTGGAGGTGGGTCTTTTTATTACTGGAGGTAGGTCTTTCTATTAGTCGAGGTAGGTCTTGCTATTAGTGGAAGTGGGTCTTTCTATTAGTGGTGGTAGGTCTTGATATTAGTGGAGGAAGGTCTTTATATTAAAGGAGGTGGGTCTTTCTATTAGTGGAGTTAGGTCTTTCTATTAGTGTAGGGAGGTCTTGCTATTAGTGTAGGTAAGTCTTTCTATTTGTGGAGGAAGGTCTTTCTATTAGTGGAGGAAGGTCTTTATAATAGTTGAGGTGAATGTTTCTATTAGTGGAGCTAGGTCTTTCGATTAGTTGAGGTCGGTCTTTCTATAAGTAGTTGTAGGTCTTTATATTAGTGGTGGTGGGTATTTCTATTAGTGGATGTAGGTCTTCCTATTAATGGAGTTGTTTCTTTCAATAATTGGAGGTTGGTCTTTCTACTATTGGAGGTAGCTCTTTCTATTAGTGGAGGTAGCTCTTTCTATTAGTGGAGGTAGGTCTTACCATTAGTGGAGGTAAGTCTTTACATTAGTGGAGGTGGGTGTTTACATTAGTGGAGGTGGGTCTTTACATTAGTGGAGTTGGGTCATTACAAGAGTTGAGGTGGGTCTTTACATTAGTCGAGGTTGGTATTTTAATTAGTGGAGTTTGGTCTTTCCATTATTTGAGGTTGGTCTTTCTATTAGTTGAGGTTGACCTTTCCATTAGTTGGTCTTTAGATTAGTGGAGGTAGGTCATTACATTATAGGAGATTGCTATTTCCATTAGTGGAAGTGGGTCCTTACATTAGTGGAAATGGGTCTTTACATTAGTGGCTGTGGGTGGAGGTGACATTAGTGGATGTGGATCTTTCCATTAGTGGAGTCAAGTTTTTACGTGAGATGGAGGTAGGTCCTTACATTAGTGGAGGTGGGTGTTTAGATTAGGCGGGTTTGGTCTTTCCATTAGTGGAGATAGGTCTTTACATTTGTGGAGGTTTGTCTTTACATTAAATGAGTTGGGTCTTTACGTGAGTGGAGGTAAGTCTTTACATTAGTTGAGGTAGGGCGTTTCATTAGTGGAGGTAGGGCTTTACATTAGTTGAGGTATTGCGTTTCATTAGTTGAGGTAAGTCTTTACATTAGTTGAGGTAGGGCGTTTCATTAGTGAAGGTAGGGCTTTACAGTAGTGGAAGTGGGTCTTTACATTAGATGAGTTTGGTTTTACGTGAGTCGATGTAGGTCTTTACATTAGGGGAAGTAGGTCTTAACATTAGTTGAGGTAGGGCGTTTCATCACTGGAGGTAGGTCTTCACATTAATGGAATGGTTTCTTTCGATAATTGGACTTAGGTCTTTCCATTAGTGGAGGTGGTTCTTTACATAAGTGGAAGTGGGTCTTAACATTAGTGGTTGTACGTCTTTACATTTTTTGAGGTGGGTCTTTAAATAAGTGGAGGTGGTTCTTTCCATTAGTGGATGTAGGTCTTTACTTGAGTGGTTGTCGGGTCTGTACGTGAGTGGAAGTGGGTCTTTACATTAGTGGAGGTAGTAATTTACATTAGTGGAGGTGGGTCTTTACATTAGTGGAAATTGGTCTTTCCATTAGTGGAGTCGGATCTTTACATAAGGGGAGGTAGGTCTTTGCATTAGTGGATGTAGGTCTTTACATTAGTGGAGGTGGGTCTTTACATTTGTGGAGTTGAGTCTTTACGTGAATGGAGGTAGGTCTTAACATTAGTTGAGGTAGGGCTTTTCATTAGTTTAGGTGGGTCTTTGCATTAGTGGAGGTGGTTCTGTACATTAGTGGAGGTGGGTATTTACATTAGTTGAGGTAGGTCTTTACATTAGTGGAAGTTGGTCTTTCCATTAGTGGAGATGGGTCTTTCCATCAATGGAAGTGGGTCTTTACATTACTGAAGGTGTGTCTTTACATTATTGGAGTTGGGTCTTTAAATAAGTGGAGGTGGGTCTTTCCATTAGAGAAGGTGGGTCATACATTAGTTGATTTAGGTCTTGACATTAGTGGATGTGTGTCTTTACATTATAGGAGGTAGGTCTTTACTTTAGTGGGTGACGGGTATTTAAGTGAGTGGAGGTGTTTACATTAGTGGAGGTGGGTCTTTACATTTGTTGAGGTTGGTCTTTACATTAGTATAAGGGGTTCTTTACATTAGTGGGGTTGGGTTTTTCCATTAGTGGAGGTAGGTCTTAACATTTGTTGAGGTAGGGCTTTTTATTAGTGGAGGTAGGGCTTTACATTAGTGGAGGTAGGTCTTTACATTTGTCGAGGTTGGTCTTTACATTAGTATAAGTTGTTCTTTACATTAGTTGGGTTGGGTTTTTCCATTAGGTGGAGGTAGGTCTTAACATTTGTTGAGGTAGGGCTTTTCATTAGTGGAGTTAGGGCTTTACATTAGTGGAGGTAGGCTTTATCTTTGTGAGGTAGGGCTGTACATTGGTAGAGGTATGGCTTTACATTGATGCAGGTATGGCTTTGCATTGTTGGAGATAACTCTTGACATTGGTGGAGGCAGAGTTTTAAATTGGTGGAGGTAGGTATTTTCATTAATGGAGATGCGGATTTACATAAGTTTAATTATGTTTTCCACATTGTTGTATTTATAGTTTACATTGGAGGATTTAGACCTTTTTATACATATAGTTAAGACTTTACATAAGTGGAGGTTGGGATTTACATTAGTAGTAGGAGGGCTTTACATAAATTCAAAGAGGGATTTACATAATTGGATGTAAGGGTTTACATGTCGAGTATTGCTTTACAGTATAGTATTAAGGGTCTACAATGTACTGCAAACGCGTAGTCTAACCGATATGATAATGTAAATAAAAATATATTGTTAAACAATTTAAAGATTTCAAATATTTTAAAGAAAATTTTATTTATCATTTAACATTTGAAACAAAACTAAAAAAACGCCACCATTTTATCATTCACACGAATCGCATTGAAACTAAGTATTATAACTTTTTTCGGAATGAAAGGCTCTTTTGAACCCTGGAAATTGGCGACATTTGAAAATAACGAAACATACTTGTGTTATAATCTTTTTATTAACTAAAAAGATTTGCATGACAATTGTTTTATTTTATAAATAGTCTTTTGACCCCTTTTGCATTAGCTAAATAGACTTGTGTCACAAGATTTTTACCAACTTCTTAATTCACATTGTCCGATATGATGAATAATTCCTGGATTTGGAAGATGAACTTATGATTAAATCATCGAACTAGTTTTAAATTGTATTTAAGGAAGAAACGTGGCAGTAAAGCAAATAACGTCACAATCAAGTAATTACAGCGACGTTTCAGTAACATATGACTCTAGTCGTGCCGTAGATGGGAATACAGACTCTGATTTCTATCATGGCAGTTGTACACATACACAGATCGAAACTGCCTCTAACTGGAATGTGACGTTCTCTGCATCTCAACTTGTCAACAGATATGTTCTATATAATAGGAACAGCAGTAAGTTCTACTGTAATATCACAATTAAAACATTGGTTGATGTGACGTCAAAAGTTATATTTTTGCTTAGATTTAAAAACTCCGAACTAGGAAAAGAAAATTTGCCAGGCAACTTGTTCTTATAAGATCAAACGATTTGCTAAGGATGAGTTAAAATGAGAAAGAGAGGTCAAGGTGATATTATGGGAAATGCTTGTGAGCAAAATATAGGATGAATAGGTGACTATGGCAATGCGGATCTATGAGAACTTTTTATGATTCATTACCTCAGCTTTGATGGGTAATCAATATTAAGGCATATATATCTTGCTCGTGTCATTGTTTTAATTAAAGGTATTTAAATAGGAAATGAAAGCTTGTAACACTGTTTCATTTTGCATCACTTGTTCGATATTTCAATTTCTTTTGAACACATTGCTTGTAAGTATTAGTCTTAAGTTAATTGTTGATTGACTTTTTTATTTAGTTTTTAAGACTCATTTGTATGATTATATAATTGCTACAAGTTTAGCTTGCTATGTTAATACTGATTGTAAGGAATCATGTTGAGGAAATCTTTAACTTTCAAATGATATGACATAAATTATTATGCGCTGTTATGATTTCAGATCAGGACAGGCTGTTGAATTTCTCTCTCTCAAGTTTTAACCCGGACAAAGACATTGTCTTCACCTACTCCATCCCTCCAAAACAACAATTGACTTACGCTGTGACGTCACCTCCTGAACTTGTTTCATTTGTTAAAATATTTACCAATGTCAGCCAAGTACTTACCTTGTGTGAAGTTGAAATCTTTGGTGGTAGGTGAAATAGCTTTTTTTATTGAGCTTGAGACAACAGTACACAAGCGTAGTCCTAGGCTCAATCGTGCTTCACATAAGAATTAGTTAAAAGTAAAAAAAGAAACATAACATTAATAAACAGTTACATAACTTATTCATTAACAAACAGCTGTGTAAAAATATTGACCCACCCAAGTATTACTGACCAATGTCTAGCCATGGACGGCACTCTGCAGCCTCGAGATTTGTTTATCGGTCAGAGTGGGGTGAGAATGAGTCGGAATAGTAGAGTTTGAAGAGATCCTTTTCAAACACTGATCTAAAGAATCCATTTTTAATTTTTAGAAAAAACAACAAAACATTTCTATTTATTTAGTTGATACCA